CAGAGAGCCTGGAGGACAGGGCAGGACTGCCCCTGCGTGTTTCTGAGACTGTAACTGCTTACGGGAGTAGAAAGCCCGTCTTTCCGTGAATAAAAGAGCAGCAAAATCCTTACTCATGGAGCTTACCATCCAGTGTGAGCAGACAACAAGCCATAAACACCAGCAAAGGAGGGGTTAGGGAGAATGGGGTTGTGGAGGTCTGAGAGAGGCAGGTTGTAATATTAAATAGGGTAGTGGTCAGGATAGACCTCAGTGGGGGAAAAGTGACATTTTTAGCGAAGATTTGAAGAAGGTGAGGCAGATAGCTGTGTAAATTCAGGGGTGGAGCCAATGGAAAGGACAGGAGAAACAGCCAATGGAATGGCCCCAAGCAGAGTCTGGCTATCCTGTTTAAGCAATAGGAAGGAGTCCTGTGTGGCTGAGGGGGAGTGAGAGAGGGGAGAGTAGTAGATGAAACGAGAGAGGGAGGCAGGAGAGCATAGGGCCTTGCAGGCCATTATAAGGACTTCCAGTGTTGACTCTGAGTGTGATAGTCATATGGGGCAAAGCAGAGACGTGACATTATCTGACTTATATTTTAATAGAATGTCTCTGGTTCTTGTGTTGAGAGTAGTCTATAACTGGGAGAAGGGGCACAAGAAGGAAGAAGCTGGTGTGGAAGCTGTTTCAATAATCCAAATACGCGGAGCTAGATGGTAGCTCAAGCCAGGACTAGTAGTTGAGCAGGTGTGAGGCATATTTTGAAAGAGGTGCCAGCAGATTGGCTATCGGGTATAGGAAAAAGACAAGAATCAAGGATAACCCCAAGATCTTAGACCTGAGCAATTGGAAAAATGGAATCACCACCCACCAGTTGTGATGGAGGGGGTTATAGATGAGGTAAATTTGGGATGCAATATCAGGAATTTAATTCTTTCTGAGTCAAGTGTGAAATGCCTATTAGGCATCCAGGTAGGTGGTTGTGGTGGTAGGCGCCATTGATTCCAAGGCAGGCAGCCCCATGGGCGCTTACTTTTTGTCCATAGGAAGGGCTGTGCTGTACGAATATCAAGGAGAAACCTTACACCATTCACCCCGCGACCCTAGTTTTTCCCATCAGATTTCTTTTTGTTCCCAAAGCTAAAAAAAACATTTTGGAAGAGGAAGATTGAGTCCCTTGAGGATGCCAAAACTACCATTTTGGTGTGGTTACAAATCAAAAAGCTCAGAGTTCTTCAGGCAAGGGTTAGAAAGACAAAAGCATTACCTCCGGAAGTACAGAGACCTAGAGGGTAGACATGTGGACAATCGCCTCACTTTTTGAAACTTGTGTTTAACAAGTTTCTCTTACTTTGTAGCAATACCTTTTTATTTACCCTGTTTATAGCACATACAAATACATGTAGAAACAGCAGCCAAACCTAGATACCATATATACTCGTATATAAGTCGAGCTTTTCAGCACATTTTTAATGCAGGCTTTGTGGTAAAATTAGGTGCCTCGGCTGTTATTCAGGTTGGCTTATACTTGAGTATATACGGTATATTTGGTCCCTTTTGCCTACCCATACTGGTTCATATTGCCAATGGCTTACATATCCTCTGGGAGATTAATATTTGTTCTTACTCATGATGCGGCTTGTGGATGAAATAGTAGTGTCCTTTGCTGTCTGCAACCTACTGTGCACCTCTCGCTGCCTTCCCTGTTCTCAGTGCCATTGTGCTCATCACACCTTACTGACTATTGCCCTTCCTGCCTCCCAAATGAACACACACCCATTATCTAGTCGTGATTTTCCCTACCTTCTCCTCGCGATACCCATCAAAGGTTTCTTCCTCCAGATAAACCTGTCTTTGACTTTTTATAATAATGGACCCATACAGTAATCGTCCTTTCATGAATGACTCAGTTCACTCAGCATCGTCTCATCCAGGCTCACGCAAGCACTAAGGTGTTTTGTGGATTCTCGGTTAGTCTTGAACATTGCCAGCATTCCTCTGTGCGTGTGGACCATCATTTTATGTACTCGTTCATCAATGGACGGGGCAGCACTTAGGAAACAACTTCAAGTTGTTTCCATCTCTCTGCTCTTCCGAATCATGCTGCAGTTGGCCATGGGTGTGCATAGATCGGTTTATGTCCTGGCTCTTATATCTTTAGGATAGATGCCTAGTAGTGACGTTGCTAGACCAATGGCATTTCTGTTTCCGACATGGTAAGGAAGGGCCATACCCTTCCCCACAGTGGTTGTGCCTCATTTCATAGGTGTGAGCCCTGGTGCTGCTTCACTCTGGAACTCAACTCTTCTCGTCTGTGAGACTCGGCTGGGTTTCCTCTCCTTGTTCATTAACTGCACATTCAAATTAATTTTGCTATAGAATCCCAGGAAGGCACTGAAGCAGTTAAGTATAATAGTCTATCACTTCTTTTCTTTTTCTTTCTTTCTTTTTTTTTTTTT